CTGGCGTGAAACTGTTCGTGGTTGACTCTCAGTTTATGAATATTACGCACGTAACCTTAATGCAATGAGAGCAACATGCGTTTTGACGTAATACATGACTACAGATTTGAAATCAATTCACAGGCAATTTATCGCTGACAACTGATTCACCATGTACCTGATTCTGCCCATTTTTAGAAAAGCACAAAATCCCGGAAACGTCAAAAATGGCTGTAATTTAGTTAGTTTCGTTTTTAGATGTATAGAGTGGCATCATATCCATCAAAACAGAGTAAATATCAATGTGCAAATAACATAACGATTAAACATAGTGTTATTTTCTGTGAATTCCACATCTAAGTATCGTGTAAGAATTAGTGTAATCTCATGTATGACGGTTTGTCAACAACCTTCAGTCGGAGTATAGATTCCAAAACAGTTTGCGGAGATTTCGCGGTATTTTTGACTTACCTGGGCTGATTTAGATGCGGTTCAACAAGAGAATTTTCCTTTGCCTAGGAACAAAAATTTACATAACGTCACATGCTGCCAGGCCAATCGGTGACCAATAAATTTCGCTAGAACTGATAGGCGTAATCTTAAACATATTATTTTGTTGTAGGGGGCGCACACCGATCGTTCTTACGGAACTCACTCGTTCCGTCGTGCCTTACGGGCTCTCTCTCGAGCCCAACCAGCAGCCGCACAGCGGCGCATGATATAGGCAGTATGCTATTGCCGACAAAGACAAGGGAGACTGGAATGGCCATTTCTGGCGTATTAGCTGTGGTTAGCCAGCCATGCCCAAGAGCCGAAACCCTCGCAGTTGTGTCATGCAGAGGCAGAATATTGGCGAAACACGTGTCTGGGCTTTTAGTTAGTACATGTGCCCGGAGTACGGTATAGTATCTTTGATACATACATTTCATACTACTTGTGGTAGTACTCGTTTGTCGAATTGGCATTACATGGTTATTCTACAGTAGTCGATTGTCTTCGACTCTTCGGCTCGTGGCCCAGTGGTTAGAAACGTGTACATCTAACCAACAGGTCGCGAGTTCGAGCCTCGCGTGTTTCACGCTTCGGGATTTGGTATGACTGACTGACGACGGCAAATAAGCCAAAAATTGCCATTCCAGTCTTCCCTGTCCTTGTCTGTAATAACATACAGCCTATATTATTTTGTGTTTATAAATAGAACTTTTTCTTGCGTTAAATTAACGTGTACTTTTAGTCTCTTCAGGATAACGTTGCTGATTTTCAGTGTTGTCATCCGATCGCCCATAAAGAGAGATTCTGTAACATGTTTCTGTTAAACTTTTAAATAAGGCATTTATCGAAGTAGCGAGTGTTTGGACGTTCTTTTCCATGAAGAAGGTCGTTTGAGTCGAATTTGAAGACTCACTCGAGCATGAAACTTCATTGACGAATAAAATAGCTTTCCACAGCGAAAGTCGGTAACAAATAGGCTTTCAATCACAATTTGAAAACTCTCTCTAATAAGTTACCTCTTTAGGAAGTGCTTTCTTACTGCACTGCGTTGACGGATCTCTGTGTACTTCGCACTTTTGCACGGTGAGGCCAAGAAAAAATATGACACTTTTGTCCGTTGCTGTCACCTTCCTAAACCATCCTGATAATTTTCTACCGTAAACGCAAGATTATATCTTTCTTCTCTATATATTGCGGCCATTTACACTGTCTTTGCTCGCCTTTAGACTCCGTTCTTCGATCATGAATGCACGAGAGAGCGTCCATGTAAATAATGATATTCTGCTGAAACTGCTCATGTTTTGCGCTTTCCATTTCTGCATGAGGCATTTGTGAAACCTAGACTACGCGGCGAGGAATGTTTCTTATCTTCAAGACTGGAAATGGCCATTTGGTGGTGGTCATTTCTGTGACATCACGTTAAATCCTCTAAACGGCAAAACAATTTCAGCCCATTTAAACAAAGGAATTCCTGTCTTCGTTATTACTGCACTTTAGAGCACCAAGTCGCACTGATCTGCTAATATGACTTTTTAAAAATCTTTAAAATATTTGGTTCTGTTAAAGTGACCTTTGTGAGCAAATTGATTAACATGGTTAGGATCGGATATAAAACAAATTCCCAAGTCCGCAAACCTCGGATTATTAAAACTCCCGCGAGAAAATTAGTCACCTTTTAATGAGAAACACGCTCAAATGTACAACCGAAGTCTAGGAGAGATATTAGCATATGAACTATTTTTTTGCTTGTCTTTTCGCATGGGCATTCGAAACCCCACCTAGCCACCATGCGGTTTGCACTAACATTCTTTATCAGCACAAAACGAACCAAAACCCAGTGGCAATAATTGAACCTTCACAGACGGTGTCCTCATCAGCAAGTTACATGTCAGTCCATTTGGCTTTGAATGTACGCCATCGGCGGTTTCTAGCCCGCTTAGCCCTGACCAATAAAAACAGGCATTACACCACATAACTGTACCGACTATCGCCCAGTCGAATCCGCACTTTGAAATCGGCCAATCAGGACCCGAAGGTCATGAGTGCGTGCGTGCGGGCGGATTCAAAGTGTGCTGGCACTATAAGAGGCAGTGCTAATGGCACTCGCGATCATTCGTCGCTCCTGATCCGGTTATCACTCGAAATGGCTCTCGCAGACGTCGAAGTATTCGAAGACGCAGTTCCCCTGATTCGCAGCTGTCCAGCCCTCAACGAGATTCGCACTTCGGGAGAATTCAAAGACCTCACCATAGAGGTACCTCTCCGTCCTGTTACCGTTCATTACACGGCAATTTGTTCATGCTTGTTAGGTGAAGGACGGCGCTATTCTCAATGCCCATCGAATAATACTAGCGGCTCGAATTCCGTCATTGCGAGCTGCTCTCAGTGGCGCCCTCGGGAAGGATAATTCGGTGCTAAAATGGCCGACGGTGCCTCTGAAGTAAAATAATCCTCCTTTTTCTGATTTTGCTTTTGCACTTCCTAGCCTCGCAAATTCACTCCTCCAGTATGTGTACACCGGGCAGTTGGAGGTGACCCAAGCGAATGCGATGGGCATAGTGATGTTTGCGAAAATGATGAAACTGTCTGATCTGGAGAATTGGGGAATGCAATTCATGGCCAATAGGTAAGCAAGTGCCGGTTCTTTCTGTCTAACTGCCGGCTGTAAAGAGTGAATTTAGAAAATCTGGCAACCACATGGGACTTTGCCAGATCTTCGAATATGGGATCACTGATGGAGACTTGCATCAATCTGATGCAAGAGCAGTTTAAGATTTTCGTCACTTCTGACCTCTTTGTTCGCCTGCCAGCTGACACTGTGCTGACTTTGTTGCAAAACGACAATCTGTCAGTGGACTCCGAAGAGGCAGTTTTTGAGGCGATTTCAAGCTGGGTGGGTGCCGGCGACAAGGAGTGCGATAACGAGAGACTGAGACTGCACGCCTCGGAGATGCTAAAGGAGGTTCGTTGGTGTCAGACGACTCTCCAATTTCGCAGTCGCATAGTCGATAGTCATCCAATTTTCCAGGAAAGCAAAAGCTGCCTGTAAGTATATGCTGTTCCAGTTCATTTATTTTCTAATGAAAGTCGCCTTATGGCTCTGGTGGAGCAGTGGATTAGCAACACAGACAAGGACAAGCCTCCGT